CAATCAATCTTCACATCGTTTGTACATTCACATTACCGCCGGTCCAGAGAGGATTCGAGGTCAGGACTGGTCGAGGCCATGTTCCATCAGGACTTAACCTGTTCGTCTGTGTTCCGACGCCATCAAGGGACCGGAGTGGCGTTCACTGTGATGGAGATACTAGAGGACAGTAGCAAACTGGGTGATATTGCTTGAGCATCAACTTCTCGGTAATACTGACAACACACGAACAAAATACTCTTGTTGTTGATGTGCTAAAACATACCATTGTTAAGCGTGATTCACTGACGCGGTCTCGCGCTCTATGCGTGCTTAAATGCCATGGAGCCGTCGCCTGCATAAAAGGTTCCGTTAGACGACTAAATACAACGGGACGATAGAATTTGCGGCATAACCCGGTGGAATGGCTTCCATCCGTCCTGAATTACGGTATCGATGTAAAGTGTAAGACTTCAAAATATTTGCTGCATGCAAAACCGATATCGATAACTTCAGAGGTTCATAACAGTACGGTGAGGTGGACGACGAATCCAATAGGCCTTCTGATGCCATGGTTGGAAGCTGCAGAGGTTGCATCATGGAATATTCGACGAGCAAAATGCTCAGTTTTCTCATCATCATATCACCTGTGAGTCGTGCTTTCTCACTCGAATATGTACTTGTGATGGTCACTGATACTGTCGAATATCATCAGTATTCATAGTCAGGGAATGATGCTCTGAATATTCATTTTGGCCAAGCATTTGCCAAAATCTGTTCGTCTTGCCAATGCATCGTCCCCTCTCGTTCAATCGGCAAATGACATTTGGAAAACTATTGCTATGCTCCATTAGGAGTTCATACTGTCAGTCACTCACAGGTGATTTTTAATCGAGGTAACTTTCTACTAAACAGGGTGTTTCGTTGCTGGTCATTGTGGCGCCAGTATACGTTAGAATATCCTCACATGCGAACTAAACGTGCCTAATGTGGGTTATTTACATCGGAGCACATTAATCTCCGCGATCATTTAAGATATCATTAACTGGGCAGTGCTGCTGTTAAATCAAGCTTGGAATGGACTACGGTTCTGAAAGTTACAGAGGGCTAACGTCTGGGTTCCTCACGGTCAGTCGAATTAAGCAACGTCAATTAAAATAACCGTGAAACGCGATTTCCACGAAAGCCACACAGATGGTGAAGCGATTATTACACTTCGCATTGTGTGTCTTGAAAGCACGTGACCTATTTCATAGTTTCTATCTCACTGCTAAGAATGCTCTTTGGCATTCGTATCGAATGTTTGCACCGTTTTACGAAAATGCGAGGC